GAGTAATCTAGAAGATTTCTAATTTCAAGGGGAGCACATAGCAAGAAAGAGTTCTACAAAAATTTCAAGCTGCCAATAAAGTGATCTACCATTTGGGTATTGTGACCCATACAAATCAATGATACTCAAGATATCTATGGGAATTATGAATGCTAGATGGGGTCTTTAGAAAGCACCAGTAGGAACATCAAAAGAATTACTTTATCCTTAGGATTTTGGAGAAAATCTACAATATCCGGCAAATTATTACCATTGATAAAAAATAATATCCATAGAAGGAGCCCTCGTGGTGTAGTAGCTACTTGTTGGGCTGCAATTGGCATGGTCAGCAGTTCAAAACCACCATCAGCTACTCTGGAGAAAGACTGGACTTTCTACTCCTGTAAACAGTTACAATCTCAAAAACTCACAGGGGGTTGCTATGAGTCAGCATTTGGTGAGTTTACAGTGAGCCTGGTTTGGTTTACCCAACCATGGATCTCAGATGACTACTTGGTCTGAGCTTCCCATCATGAACTAGGTATAGTCTGAGTCATGGAGTAATAAAGTTAGGTGTATGTGCTAACCATCTAACATCACCAGGAGATAGCACCAACCTTGGGGCAGTGAGTTTATATTAACAGAGGAAACACAACTCAAGAACAGAAGGGGAGAATGGCTGCACAATTCAAAGAACGTCATCAAGGTCACTGAATTGTCCACAGAGACATGGTTGAATTGGTGTATGTTTTGCATATACGAACTAGAACCCCAGTAGCTATACTTTTGACTCAAACTCCAACTTGCAGCACAGACAGCTGCACACGTAGAAACATCCTCTGGGTGTAGCACCCTTTCGTCTTCCCACAGCGACTCAACTTGCATGCCCCCACATATCCACTCACAGATTATTGTCCATTATTAATATTACTGCAGGATTGTGGGCGTGGTAGCATTTGTCACTGTTGTCTTTAACTTCGCCTACCTCCCAAGGTCTTTCTATGGCTTGGTCCTATTATGCCAACCTCCTCCTTCTTATATATTGTTTAAAAGAAAAAGTGAAATAATCCCAGAGTCCTGTTTTCCCTCATTCATGAGATCCAATAGGTAACTACGTGTTCTTACTTCTCCTTTCTAGGCACCTTTACAAGTTGGTCGCTTGAAGACAAGTTCCAGGAGAATCCGATATGCTAAATGAAGCAAGTGCCTGATTATGTTCTTTAGCCTGGCTCTTTTCTCTGAAGAAATCAGTACTTTGATCTTTTTCTAAAATAAATAAATTAGGAGTTAACACCAAAGGATACAGAGGTTTACTTTATAGTTTTGAAATAGTCAATATGGGATTATACTGAAAATATTGACTTATATATTCTATTGTGAATTTAAAATAATGCAGCTCTCATATATCTTGATAAGATCTTAAAATTTTTTCTGTCTCTCCTTTCATTTCATTCCCATTAAGTTTTTTTCCTGTTGAGTTTTTAATGACTTGTAAATTAGAAGTTTAATAGTAAAAAGATGCCCAAAGTTGAAAAATATATATATATAGTATTCCTAGATATCACTTACTATTTTTAATGTAAGGTCTGGCTTTAATTTGGATAGAAAAGAAAGCAAAAACACACACAAAAGTTTACCTTTTCTTAAGGACTGTTAAGGTAAAAATAAGCATTTTATGCATTTCATTAGAGGAAACAGGTAGATCAAAATACATTGTTGGTACATGTCTTTATTATAAGCCACAAATATCATATCAGAATATTGATGTGTTTGAGTGATGTGTGTCAACATCAACCTGACAAGGGGGGACTTGACTGAAATGGTACCTGGACACTAATCTCAGAAAGTCAGCATGAAAAATGTCAGTGCCCGGTTGAGAAGCTGGAAGAGTCAGAATTAGGCCAGACCTGTTGGAGGGAGAAGCATCAGATTTGTTAATTATTATTATTTAGGTCAGAGGCAACTTTTGGTTTTGAGTATAGATCAGATTCATTTTCTCCAACAACACTCTTTGTTAAAATAACTAATATGCTGAGTTAAAAAATGGTTAGGTTTTCAAGCTGACATCAAAGGAGGGCTGTAGGACTGACAGTTCAATAGAGCTCAAGGAAGAGCGAGCAGAAACCCCAGAACTTAAGCAAACATCAGAAACTACCTTGACCGCTACATAGAGACAGGGCACCGGAGATAAACTCCGGGGACCACGCAGGATAGGAAGTTTGATAGGAGAATCTTAGGGGGAGGAATCTAATAGAAAGACAGTGAGATTGACACACAATTATTTGGATAAATTCCAGAAACAGCATAATCCATTGAGTCTGAGTCCAGACACTGGACTACACTGTTTATAGTTTAGTAACTATCTGTTTGTTCAGCTTTGTGGCTGGGAACCATTTGACTTTTCCTCTCTGTGCCTCAGCTTCTTCTCTGAAAAATGTGGATTAGAATAGTACCTATCTCATAGGATTAGGAGAAAGCCAGGGCTTTCTACTCCCTTAAAGAGTTACACTCTCTGAAACCCACAGGGGCAGTTCTACCCTGTCCTTATAGGGTCACTATAAGCCTGAATCCACTCTATGGCAGGGAGAACTCAGGGGGTTGTTCAGAACAGGAGATCGGTTCTATAAAAGTTCCTTGACCAGTAGTAAACACTATGTGGTTGCTAAAAATAAGGGACCACAGCATAAAGATGGATAAGAAGGAATCCCTCAGAAACTAAGCAAGGTGGAGCCTGGCAAGTACTTGGAAGGGAAGAATGCAATATGTGACAGGGTCTGGGAGAAAACTTGGCTATTTTGACATTGGAACTGAGTATCAAGAGGCAGGGATATTTCCCGAGACGCCAGAACTACAGCTAGCTCTCAGGGAATTTGACGTCTGAAATCAAGCTGTGCTTATGGCCTAAATACATCAAGCTGAGAACTTAATGCAGGGGGGACTTCAAATACAAATACCCCCATAATCACTGTGATACAGAAGGACTAAATTCTCCTCTGAAAACACTTGGTTTTCAGACGGGCTAAAATGGGCACAGTGCAGCCCCCCCGCTGCTTACAAAAGGCATCCCTAAAACACAGGAATAAATAATTCTAAGTGAAATAAGTCTCTCAAGGAAGATACAGACAGGAGGATTCTAGTTGTATGACATTCAAAAATGGGGCAACTAAAGAACCACATTTAAGGACAACAATGAAATGATGAACTATGTAAGGTAATGAGAACTGCAGGTCTCCACACAAGGGTTCCTCTCGGGCGGGGGCAGAGTGACATGAAATGGGATCTGGTGGGGCTTAAGACATTCTGTCTGCTCAGGGGATAAAGCACACAGTTGATTTATTTATTTTTATTTTGTAAGTACATTAGACTGTGTAGTTTTAACAATATCTGTAAATCTATCGGAGTCTATAGTTTGAACAAATAGACAGAGAGGGACTTGGGGTCCTCTGGAACAAGGGGTAAAAATAGTCTTGCAGCCAAATGTAGACAGAGAAGTAAAACTCGCTGCCCAGGACTCCTGACAGCCTGGACAACCAACCAACCAATTCAGGAAGCAGACAGTTCTCAGTGGAACGCGCGCTCATCCTCATGCGGAATATTGCTTCTCTCTTACAGCCCCGGCTGACCTTGCTCTTTGGGAGAAATCAGTTCATTCCACCCAGGCACACTGGCTGTCTGATGCCCCAGGGTGAGACGAATGAAACATATGAGAGTTGCTCTTCTAGAGCACCTGCCCTTTGACCTGTGCACTCTGAACCCCTGTGGGAGCAGTCCAACTCTCCCTCACCTACTCTATCCTAAAATAGAGAAGAGTGCCTCCAACCGGCAGTCTAACGAGGGTACCAACCGCTATGATCCCTAATCAGACAGTGTCGTCCTGACTCCTTTTCTGACCAGGCTCTCGTTTGTGCTGGACTCTTCATTTTGACACGTGACTACTCAGTTTGCCATTCACCCAAGATAGTCTTCACAAGCATTACTTCCTCTAAAACACAGACTCCCTAAAAGGGGGTCTATCACCCCCTTTTCAGAAAGCAAATTGCTCCCCTGGCAATTAAAATTATATGTACCATAGTCCATAATTGAGGATAAGTACACATCCGCCCAGGTGGGGAAACAAACTCCAAACTCACTATAAGCAAGTAGGTGCGGACTCACAACGACCCTATTAGAAAGGGTACAACTGGCCCAGGAGTTTCTCCCTCTATAACTGCTTATAGGAGTAGAAAGCTCATCTTTCTCAGAGCGCTGGATGGTTTTGAACTGTTGACCTTTCCGATCGTAGCCCCACACGTAACCACGATGCCACCAGAGCTCTTCACTTTGAGAAACACTGGTCTCAAACAACGGTTTCATTCTTCAAATTTGATGTGATCAGTAATGGATTGTGCCCACTTGGCTAGGCTGTGATCATCAGTGGTTTGGCAGATATTTAACGGTCGTCGGTGGTACGATTTGATAGAAGCAATCAGTTGAAAAAGAGAGTTTCTTTGGAAGTATAGTCTGTATCCAACATCTATGGTTATGCTGGCAAAGCTGTCCAGTCCTGCATCTGACTGGTTACACTCTCATCTCTGGTTCTTGGGATGTGAACCAGCATCCTATCACCTGACTGCAGATTTGAGTTCTTCAGTCTCTGCAAACATGGGAGTCAGGAGGTGTTCAGTCTGATACCTGACTCTTGGATTTGGGACTTCCTAGTCTCCACAACCATGTGAGCCATTTCCTTGGAATAAAACTTTCTTTGTGTGTGTACATCTCTATATCCATAACCATATCTATCTATCTATCTATCTTTAGTTTTGCTCCTGTGACAGACACTTGAGGTTGGATGCACATCCCCAGACACTTGAGCATGCCTGATCATCATCTGGTGGACTTGTTAACACACACATGTTGAGCTCTGTCTCCACAGTTTCTGATTCAGTAGCTCTGGGTTGGGGCCAGAGAATCTGCATTTTCGGCAAGCTCCAAGGTGGTGCTGATACTGCCGATTTGGAGAAGATCCTTTTAGAAACTCTGACCTAAAATGTCTTTTTCCCTTGGAAGGTGTTTCCATTTCTGAAGAGCGCTTCTCCCCCTTCTCTGACTGACCACCACAGAGCGACAAATTTCCCTAAGGAACATGCTGGCTGCCGCAGCATCCTCTGTAGTGCTGCCTGCACTTCCCGGTTCTTGAGGCTGTAGATGAGAGGGTTCAGCAAGGAGGTGATCACACTGTACTGAATGGACACCACTTGCTCCAGCAGGGAGCCAGAGGGAGGGTTGAGGTACCTGAATAGAGCTGTCCCATAAAACAAGAGAACCATAGTGAGGTGGGAGGAACAGGTGGAGAAGGCTTTGCCTTGGCCCCCAGAGGAACGAATGCTCAGGATGGCAGAGAGAATCCTGGAGTAAGAGAAGAGAATCAGGGGAAGGGTCAGCAGCCCTAGCAATGTACTTGACCCAGCCAGAAGCAATTGATTGGCCGTAGGATCCGTGCAGGACAGGGGGAACAATGAAGGCAGCTCACAGCTGAAGTGGGGGATGAGGTTGGAGCCACAAAAATGTAACTTGTCGATGAAAAGATGATTCACCAGTGAGTTCAGACACCCAGTCACCCATGCTGCACTGACCATGGTGATGCAAAGTGGTCCGTTCATGATCACAGAGTAGAGCAGAGGGTGGCAGATGGCAGCGTAGCGATCATAAGCCATGGCGGAGAGAAGACTGGCTTCTGAACACCCGCAGAGAAGGAAAAAGAAACTCTGGGTGATGCAGCCCCTCACAGAGATGCCTTTCGTCTGAGACAAGAAGTTCTGTAGCATCCTGGGCATGGTGACTGAGGAGAAGCAGAGATCGAGGAAGGACAGATGTCCGAGGAAGAAGTACATTGGGGTGTGGAGGTGAGAATCCGCTCTGATCACCAGGATCATCACCAAGTTCCCCATCAAGGTCAGGAGGTAGATCCCCAGGAAGAGTACGAAGAGCAGAGCCTGAACACGAGGATCAGCAGACAGCCCGAGGAGGAAGAACTCCGAGATGACAGTGCGATTATTCATAGTTGTTTACAGTTTCTATCCCTAGAAGGAAATCAGCACTACCACATGTCACGGGTCAGTCAGCTAAGAAATTTCTAATGATCAGACTATCATCCCCACTGCCCAAATCATCCTGAGCAATAGGACTTTCACTTTACAGTTAGAAAAGGAAAACAGAAGCTAATTCCAACGGTGACTTTCAAGGTTTCTGTCCCTTAGCCCTCCTCCATGGTTGTCACTAACTCTGTTGGTGAATATACACACATCTTGAGAACTTAAATCAGATTACATGCTTGGACCATGAAGAGTATGTCTATGAGGACATAGACACCTTCAGTTGCAACCCTTTTAGTGTTCTTCTTTTGGTCTGGAAGTCCAGAACTTTAGAACTCATCTTATCTGAGACAGTCTGAGTTTTGGACAAAAATAATGGAAAACCACCCCCACCAAATCAAACCCTACCCAATGCTGCCAAGTCGATTCCAATTCACAGTGACTCGATGTGACAGAGTAGAACTGTCCACCTAGGATTTCTAAGAATGTTAATGGCTACACTGGAAGAATGCTATCTTTCTCTTTCAGAGTTGCTGGTGGGTTCAAACCACCAACCTTGGCCACCTTGCAGCTATCAGCTGAGTGCGTAACCATTGCACTACTAGGCCACCATCTGTGAAATGGAAAAGAGGCTTGAAACATGCTGCTGGAGGTTAGAAGGGGCTTTCCAAACAGTCCAGGATCCTTTGAAGGGCACCTTCCTCTCTTCCCATCCCATACAGCAAAGCTAGAAAGTATTTTCGGAGATGGGGGGGGGGGATTTGCTCCACGGACAATGAGACAATGTACATAACACAGTTAACCAAGTGACTAACCAAGAATTCAATGCCAGCTCTGTTCCCAGTTCAGTGCTCTTCCCCCATAGCTCTCCCAACGGGGCAGCAGCACAGTGAGAAACTGTTCTAAGGACAAAGAGGAGCGGTGACGTGTGATTAATAGCTGTATTTTCATCACTGTATTGTGCTTTAATTTTTTTAATTGGGTCTGGAGATTGAAAGTTTTGTGAGCCCCTAGGAAGTTACTTAGCCTTTCCAAAGCTCAATTTTTCACAACTATACAAGGGGCTCATCCTATCTACTGCACGTGGTTAACAAAAGAATGCAACAGCAAACACACATCACTCACCATCATCGAAGGATGCCAAGCCCCAGCGACCTTCTGGTTGACATGGACTTCAAATATTCCTTTTAATTCTGGAGAACAAATTTCTGGAGTGGACTCTCACACTAACCTCCTTAGTTTGGTGACCTTGATAGAATAATTTTAACCTTACTATTTTATAACATGATGATCAAGTGCTCAATCGGTATTTTATTCCTTCCGTGTGCTTCATTAAGGGAACACGGAGACTTTCTCCTCCTGTGAAGACTGGTGGTGGTGGAGACCCTCAGGGCAGTTCTACTCTGTCCTTAGGACCACTATGAGCAGGTTCAACTTGATGGCAGGGGGTGGGTTTTGTGCTTTATTATCGTCTTTAGTGACCAACCTAAAAAAGTCTAAGTCCTGATTTTAAACTGGATCCACAATTTCACTGGGACCCAGACCTGGATTATGACAACTACCTTCCCGATTGTCTTCTCAGAACTACTTTTCACAGCTAGGAGATTCTTTCCGGTTCATTTTACGTTGGTTAATTTTTAAAGCCTGAAATCAATGACACTAATAGAAAAAGCCATGCTAAGAGAAAAATCAAGAAGAAAGTAAGTTTTTGAAGACATGTTTAACTCAACTAGTTAATAGAGGTAAACAGAAACTTGATGTTTCTAACACAGTGGCTCCCTTTCCCTCCATTGATTATGGTTATGCAACACAATTAATGTCATTGGTGTCACTAAATTGTATATGTGAAAAATGCTAACTTCCTCAATACTGTGATATATATCACACACACACATATATATACATTTACAAAAATAAAAAATCATGTAAGAACATGGATCTAATTTTGTGATTACTAATTTTCAAAGATGTTTACAATAATAAGCCTAAGAAGACAGTGGCGAGAGTGACAACTATCCATTGTGGATGGTACTTCTAGCTTTGTACCTTGACTCAGCAATCCTCTAAGTCTTTGGGTTTATACTAAGACTATAACTTAAAAACTAAGACATGACATGCAGAATGATACACTCTGTGGTGTTAAATGTTGAATAAACTATTGAAAGCAACTTAAATGTCTCTTGGTCCTAGAATGCATAATTGAATAGCAACTTAATGAATAATGAAAGTCAATAAAATGTAGTAACACAGAAACATACCAACCCTAGCTGCAAAAACAAAGTATTAGATTTCTATTTGGTATGATTAGAACTGGTCCCCAAGACTCTTCTTCCTATGGCCTCCCTCAAATTCACTCTCTTCCAAATACTCCTACCACCCCCTGGCTTTAACAGCACCCTGGGAAGAAATCAGCTTCTTCACCCTCTCCTGTTGTAATGCACTCCAACAAGCTCTTTGCTCCTAAAGGAAATTAAGTTCATTTTAAGAGCATCTACCACTTAATAAGGAAATAAGAGAATCCCACTAATGATGAAGTGTTTTGGATCTTTCCCAGTCACCTTCCTGGTTATCTGAGATCACTCTTCCCTGGGAAGGTTGGTTAGCATGGTGGGAGTGTGGAGAATTTACAGGCCCGTGCTGCTGGGAGGAATTCCAGAGTGAGGCATACTGGAGAAATGGCTGTGATGAGAGCAAAGAGTTTTGATGGCAAGAAGCTGCCTAAACCAGAGCATAGAAAAAGAGTGAGAAGGTGTGCCATTTCTTGGCAGCCCTAAGATCATGAAGATTAGCCTTTGGGGAGAACGAGGCATTAGCCTTGGCTCTTCACATAAAAGAGCAAATCAAACCAAACAAACAAACAAACAAAAACAACCTTGACATTTCCGATTTCCAGTCCTGATAATCAGAGCAAAATCCAACATTTTCTAAGAGACGATATACCTATACCGTCAGTCTTTGTAGGTTTATTTCTTGTTTGTTGTTATTTCTGAAGTCATAAGATCCATGAGTTTCTCTTAGTGAAACTCAGGCAAGATGGAATGAGAAAACTCAATTTTCTACGATAGCTCACATTTGAGGAAGTGATCCTTCAGTACTCCATCTTGATGACCACGCCAAAAGAGGGTCGGCTGCTTTTGTCAAGGAAGGAGGGACAGAGAGATTACAGATAAACAAGAGTGTCGAAGTGCACATGCATCTTCCGGAATTTACTCTCAGAAAACAACAACAGCATGCACAACCAAATCTGGTCTGCTTGTCTACTTTGGGCAAGTTATGTCCCTTACTCTGGTTTTCATTTTCTTCTCGGTGCCATGAATAGTTTGGTTTAGACAAGAATTCTTCTAAGTTTCCCAAACCACCCAGTATCTGACCCCTTCTCACCCCAGTTGCTAAGCTGGACAATTCTTACTCCGGCTCATCCATGGGGTTTTGAGCCAGGTTACTAAATGGCTCCACGGCTGGTAAATGGAGTCAGAGAAGACACCAACCAGGCCTGGACAAAATCCATTGTACTTCCTGACAGTTTCTACGTTAAGACTCAGTGTGGAAAGTTCTGGGTAAAGCTTCAAGGCCTGGCATTCTTAGCATGGGAGCTTTCCTGGTCTTGCTATAAAGCATTGTCCTTGTCATTCTTCCTGGGGTGACCTACCTCCGTCCTGAGAAGAGCGCTTGGCCAGTTTGTAGGAGTCTTATATTTCTCCAGTGCTTTTCTCTTTGGCTTTCTCTTTGCCAAGATAGCCCTGAGAGAAGACCACGGGCAAGAACTCCAGGGAGCCTGGGACGCCTCGCTGCTCAAAGGGGCAGCTGTAGTAATCAGGGTCCATTGGGAACCTGGTGTTGGCTTTGAAGGGAGGCTGGGATCAGCCGGGAAGGAAGATGGGGGAATCAGAACATGTTTAGGAAGAATACTAGGGACAGGTAGAATCTGACAAAGTGCAGTCTAGGTCTTTTTGACCTCAGTCTAAAGCCTAAATTTATGCACAAAGCCACTTGTGTGTGCACACACATGCACATACATGCACTTATATAACGTCAAACATTTTTTTTCCCTTCTGGTGGATTTACTTCAAATTGTACTGAGGGGTGTGCGTGTGTGCGTGTGCGTGTGTGTGTGTGTGTGTGTGTGTGTGTGTGTGTTGCCTTCATACACTCATCACATGGTCTTGTCAGGGAAATCAGTTATGAGGTAGGGACTTTCATTTTCTTGATTGCCTGCCTATAAATATATCTATTCTTCCTGCCCTCTCCTTAATTTTAGTGGGAATCTGGCTTCCATTAACCCAAGACTATTTTGTATTTCAGCTCTCATCTCCTATGGGATTTTCTGTTTTCAGCCACACTTATTAATGGATTTGTCATGATTAATTTTTCTTTTTATTTCTCATTTATGCCAAGGATATAGACATACTAAAGTTCTCTGATCCTTAAAGTAGTCAATACAGCCACGACGCTACTGATTTCGCATTGCATTTCTCCTCTCTCGCTGCCACTTTTGCTGAAAGTCGTACTTGATTATATAATCTACAAAGTCTTTCTTCTCCTCTTGCTCCAACACTCTGGCTTCTGCATCCACCACGCCTCTCTGTGCTGATGCTAATGACTGCCACAGCCAGTCTGGATTTCTTTTACAGTACTTGGGTGCAAGAAGCATCACGTTTCAGCCTTCATCTCCTAGGGTTGACTGACAAACAGGTAATCTCTGAACCATTTGAACAGTTTCAAAAAAAACCAAAGGGGTGCTCTACTTTATTCTGCTTGACCCATCATGAAGAAAACTCTTATCTGGGCCTTCCTTTAAAGGAGCGCTGGTGGCATAGTGGATTCCTCAAGGGGCTGCCAACCACAAGATCAGCAGTTTGAAACCACCAGCCACTCCATGGGAAAATGTAGAGGCTTTCTACTCCCCCAGAAGTTTACAGTCTGGGAAACCTTCAGGGGCAATTCTATCTTGCCATATAGTGAGCCGT